TACCTCTCAACGCCTTCTCTCACACTATATAACAAAGAGCAAACGGCACAAATGGAAAATGAGAGTTGAGATTTGACTTTAGGTGCGTTTAATAAAATGACTTTAGGTGCGTTTAATAAAATTAAAATCTGAAAGTTGAGATTTGAAATATGAAATATGAAATTTGAATTCATTAAATTATTAAAATCCAGTTTGATTCACAGACTGGATGAAATGGGATGACTCATCCTCAGATTATTAATTCTTAATTGAGTCATCACCGGATAAATAATCCAAGTTATCTAGTATTTGGTTGGTTCTCAATTGGATAGGATATGTTGGAAAATTATCCTATCCTATGTTTGGTTGGAAATTGGATGAGAAATGATTACTATTTTAATAAATTATTTAATATTATTTAATAAATGATCTAATAAATAATTTAATATTTATAAATTTTATTAAAATAGAGTAGTTTAAAATTTTATAATTATAAAGTAAATCAAGGGTTTTGATATATAAAAATTCGCATTCATTCAAACTGACCATTCGTGCCCTTAAAAATAGATTTTGACCGAGTTTTTGAACCTATATTTGAAATTCAATTAAATAATGAGCCAAGTTTTAACTAAATTAAGGTTAAATCGATTAAAACCTAACTCATTTAAGAGTTTTCAATGAGCTGAACTCAGGAAAATATAGAAGATTTTTCTTTGAATCGAGTTTGAACTTATTGAAGTCCTCATTCACAATGTCCAATTAATAAGATTATATATTTATATAAATTTCATTTAGAATATAAGCTTAGTAAGGGTAATCTAGTCCAAGGGCAATATAGTCCTTCTATTATGATGTTTGTATGGCAAAATAGTCAAAAATTTAAATCAATTAATAGGGGTAAGTCAAAATTTTTAAAATAATGAATAGGGGCAAATTAGTAAAAAAAAATCAATAGAATTAGTAGGGGCTAATTAGTCTATTTATTATGATATTATTATGTAAGAGTATGGTTATATAATAGCTAATTTGAATTTGAATCATTTATAAGGATAAATTAGTCCAAATATTGTTATATTAGTAGCAAGGGCAAATTAGTCAAAAACTTTAAAATTAAATAATATGGGCAAATTAGTCCATTCATATTATATTATCATGTGAGAGTTGTATTATATAATTATAAGAGTATAAATTTGTATTTTTTGTAAGGATAATTTAGTTTAAAACTTTATCATCATATCTGTTAGTCATCCCAGGATGACTAATCCCATATCTCCCGTGGAATTATTTTATTCCATGAATAAGGGATTAATACGTTTAGGTATAATGTGTCATCCCATGTATAAAATGCAACCAAGCATCATGTGTCATCCCATGAACCAAACGGACCCTAAGTGTTAAATCTAATATATTTGGGTATATATCACATTCAGTGATAAGTGAATAACTTATCACTTAATTTTGGAGGCAAGTTTTGTCTAGAAAATTCAGTGACTAATTAATTCAGATGTTCTATTTTTTGTTATCAAACACGTCTGAACATATTAAGATCTAAATATATTAAATTTAAGTGTTGATTAGGGCTTTTAAATGGGACCTTTATTTGGATAGTATGATTTGGGAAAAGTCTTTGCAAAAAGATATTTTGCAAAATATTAGGGTTATCAAGTTTTGCTTACAATGCAAACACATCTTCAAAATATTTTCATTTCACATACATTAAATTATAAGAATTATCACAATGTTGTTCCAAATCATATTTCTAAATAATCTCCTATATGAACACTCTTTTAATCTGGATAAACCTTTTGGATTAAGTATTGGATTATTGAAACTTCTATGAATAATGAAAACTACTGACCTTAGTAAACGTGGTACTTCATTCTATTAATTTGTTAGGAAAGTATGGATTAAAATTTATTTTCCATCAATTTTCACTAAATTTGATAATTTGTAGAAATCATCCTAAAGTGTTTTACATGTTTTATGGAAGAAGTTTTTTTTTTTTTTTTGAGTGGAAGGAGAATGTTGATAGTAATATAACATGTTAGACACTTATGGTGCATTTAATAAAACTGAAATTTGAAATCTGAATCCATTAATTTATTGAATTGTTAAGTATTAAATCAAATATGTTTAAGTATATATTATATTTATTGATAAATGAATAGTTTATCACTTATTTTTTAGAGCAGGTTTTACCTAAGAAATTCAGTGCCACTTAATTAATTCAAATGTTCAATTTCTGGTTATCAAATGCGTCTGAATATATTAAAATCTGAACCTATTAAATTTAAGTGTTGAATTGGATTATCAAACAAACCTTAAAATGTTTCTTGATTTCACTATTTCCTATTAAAAAAAATTTGTGTGTGTCTAGATATTCCCACAATACACATCCTCCAACACTAGTTATCTTTCCCCTTCATGTACAATTTCACGCTAAAAGCTATTCTATACTAATTCGCACTAAAATGCTTGCACCATTTGGGACTCCTTGGCCACAAAAAGCAACTATTGTAATGGTAGACAGAGGCAGGCTTTTTGGTACGTAGAGCAATTCAATACTAATTTTCATCTCACTTACTAGATTTTTACTAGAAGGATGCATATAGATGCAGCGTTTTTTGTTTTTTTTATTAACTGTTTTTGAAAAATTATACTGTATAAGAGTTTTTGTAGTATATTTTAAAATGTTTTTAAAAAATATTTTAAAATATTTAAGATTAGAAGAGTTTTTAGATTATATTTTAAAATATTTTTTTAATATTTAAAAAAATTTAGACTACTTTTTAGAGTATCTTTTAAATATTTTTAAAAATTTTAATAATATTTAAAAAATTAATTTTTGAAAAACTTAGCAATCCAAAGAGCAGGTGTTGACCACAATTTCGATCATCAATAGTTAGTTATATCATTTCAGTCAAAGCTTTCACACGCTATTCAGTCTATAGTTTTTAATATTTCACCTTTCGTGCTCCCATCCTTGCTGCCCAAGCAAAATCAATCCTACTTTTTTGTTTCCTTTTTCTTTTTGGCGGAAAAAAGAATGCTTAATCCGTTTCCTCCTACGTGTCATGCAGGCAAATGTGGGTCCCACACACCAACAATGCAAAAGGCTGTCACCACGGGGATACAACCAATGCCCTCCGATCTCATCATTTACTCGCACCATGACGTCATTCCCCAGCAACTCGTGTCAGAAACGTCAATCGGACGGTCCAAACAGCGCTAGTAACGGCACAACTGCAACATATTTGAAGCCAAGTGGTTGCCTCAGTTGACTAATGTGTCGTGGCTTCGTTGCAGCCTAAGATGATTTATGCACACTTAAATCTGTTACTTAACTAGGCGCGCAATGCCCCACTTATCATTAACATCAAGGCAACGGGTTAACTATCCCATGGCCCTTTTGGAAGCCAAAATTCTGATTTAACCCTGTAGTAACAAAATTTTAGGCGAGTATGCTGCAATTTGGCCAATGCTCCCAACTTTTGTGTGATGTTTCTGTTTCACGGCTAGATCACTATCTATGCTTCACATAATCATAGTGTAAACGAGTATAAACAATCCAAACATCCTAATATTTAAATTTGTTTGATTATTTTTAATAAATTTAAATTTTTATTCAAACTTGATTTGTTTACTTCTCGAGCCAAAATGAAACGAATTTTTATTGAGCTCAATTTAAGTCGAACTCAAGCGGCTTGATTTTTGCATGTAAAATTTGCTTATTATGCTAATTGAACCGAGTTCATGCAAAACTTGAAAGTTTATCAACCATAAATTGCTGCTCAAAATTAATTTGATTAACTACAGAACCAAATTTGAATGGGTTCTTATTGAACCAAACTACTTGGTTCTATCTCTTAGCCCTAATCATATGGGGGGGTCATTGGTGAAGTGAAATTTGTATATCAATATCATTTATCTCATATTGTAAATCCTAGTTAAGATTGCATGATTAGAAAAGAATCAAACAAAAATCTTTAAGTCGAAAATTACCCTAAAATGATTGAATCAATTTCCCAAAAATTAACCCCCAAAAGGATATAGCAACTCCGAGCTAAGTGTTGCTTTGTGATTCATGGCTACATAATTAAATAACTAAAATGATCGAATAACTTTGTGCTTATGTAGTTACTCAAGCTTAGTTTTTCAAAATTAAACCAGTCTTTTGGACATTTTCGTTCTAAATATACTTCTACACATTTTAACATTATTAAAACGAAATTACTATGAAGATAAAAATTAAGTTGTATGATCCCATATTCGATTATTTTAGCCTTTCATATTCATTTATTAAATAGAATGCAAATTTTGTAATATCTTAATAATGGTAAGAAAGTGAACTAAAGAAAAGTCAAAATGACTTTGTTTACCATATTATACTAAGTTAAGGTGATAACCAAACACTTGCCTCCCGAGTCAATTCAAATTAAAATTAATTTGATAATCCAATTTAGCACTTAAATTTAATGGATTTAAATTTTAATATGTTCAAACACGTTTGATAACCAGAAATTGAATATTTGAATTAATTAAATGATACTGAATTTTTTAGGCAAAACATGCTCTAAAAAATAAGTGATAAGGTATTCACTTTATCACTAAATATGATATATACTTAAATGTATTTGATTTAATACTTAACAATTCAATAATTTAATGATTTAGACTTCAGATTTCAATTTTCAGATTTCAATTTTATAAAATGCACTCTAAGACAAGCCAGTACCCAAGTTTCAATGATTACAACAGTCTTTATATTATCCGCCTTCAAAAACACTATTGATTCAAACTCACATTTGTGAATATTGAAAAAAGTAGGAAGGTTTTGTAGGTAATGTGAAAATAGTAAACGGATGCAAAATTGAGAGGTCACATTTAGAAGGCCAGAGTGAAATAGCTTTACTTTTGAGAGGCCAACTGAAATTTCTGGTTACTTTGAAAGGGCCAAGATGAAATTACTCTCAAGTCTCCAGGAAAAGTGTATCATCTATCCACTACCACTATTATCTAGTGTCTCCCTGCATTACTTTATATAAACTTTGGAGTTTGTTTCTTGCATAGAGTCCGGGATGCAGACGGAATTTGTTGTCTTTCTTCTGATTATTTATTGTAACGATCAGTTAAAATAATTTGAGATGACCAGGTTTTAATCGATTGTCAATTCAAGACTCAGAAGCAATAAAAAGCCCTAATCTTATTATCTTTCTCTGTTTTTTTGTCTTCTTTATTCACTTTTTCCCTCTCGCCGTATAATGGAATCTCCACCACCGCCGTTGCCGCCCCCCTGTTATATCTCCCAGGGTTCCAAGTAAGTACTATTTTTCTCCCTTCTTGCTTTTACTTTTTTATTTTCTAATTCCTTTTAAGTTTGTACATTTACCGAAGTTTTGATTCTGTTAATTATTTTCTGTGGGCAGGAAAAGGGTTTTTCCGGGGGGTAGTTCGACGTGTATGGAGGCAGATGTGGTGGAAATCCCGCCTCCAGTAAATAGCAGCTCGAAGCTGAAGTCCCTTAAGCTCAAGGAAAAAGAGGTGGGATTCATTTGTCTGTTCATTTTAGACTTTGGATTGATCGCAAATTCTAGCATGATTGGTATTCCGCCTTTTTCTTTTCTGTGTAAGAGTTTTAATTAATTTGTCGAATGTGATTTGCATGTTTTTGGTTTTCAATTGGTGAAAATGAAAGCGGAAAGAGTAAAGATGCGCTTTTTTGTTTCGAATTTAAGCTGCATTTCTGCTGCTTGGTACTCGGGAATAATTGTTTTAGGAATTTAGGAAAATGGAAACTTTTGCAGAACTTTGAATAATCATAATCCTATTTCAATTTTTGAAGCCTCGTATGGTGCCTCAAAGGTATGATCACAGACTCATGGCAATGTTGGAGGGTATAGTGATTGCGAGTTTTGAACTCTAATTTATTCGTGATTCTGGGAACTTTCATAATTTTGATTTCCATTAGGAGTTCATGAAAGGTTTGGTTGGTGCAAGATCATCTTCTGCATTCTTTAGGTTATTTTGCTTTTTGGTAGTATCGAATTTATGGGGTTCAACAGCTGAAGTTTAACAATTGATAAACTTCAGGTTTTCCTTTTTCTTTTGCAGTTCAACAGTTAATCAGTTATTAGACACTGAAGTTCTTAGTTCACCACTAAGGGTTTTTTCTATGTTTGCTACAAAGAAATTATTTTATCTCAAGTCATGTTGCAGCGGAAATAGAATTATTTGCTTTGACATTTTTCATTGATCAAACATTTTCTGCATCAAAGTGGTTTGGTAGCTCCTTTTAAGCCTCTTTTCTGGTCAGGAAAGAAAATTTATTAAGGGAAGGGTGGTACTCCATCTTTTCATTGCATATTAACTGGATTTCTGTTCGGTGACTGTTGCTCTTCATTTCATCTGGTCTTTGGTAGTAATTTTTAGCACCTTTTCTTGCTTTTTTGGCTTTCTAATGCAAATTTTAATTTTTACGACCATTTTTGCCATTCATTTTATTTAAATATTGTTGTAAATGTCTTAATAGTGGTGAATGGATTCTTTGTAGGTAATTTTTCCTGAAGTAATAGATGTTGACATGGATGACGACTATGAGGATATTATGCTTTTGGATAGAGAAGTGGACACAAAGAGGAAGGGCAAGGTAACTATAAACTTTTGTTCGCAAAATGTTGCTTGGTACAATCTTAATTGGATTTGTGAGTCAGCTGACTCCAATATGGTACTTCTTGTTTGTAGACATGACTCTAATATGGTAATTTTGAGAGTTTGATGGCGGTTTTTCCATGTGGACTTACTTTTTAAATTTGAATTCATTATATGGTTTGTATTCTTGTTAGAACTTGGTTGTATTTTATATATCTGCAGATGTCATAGCGAGGGGGGGGTTGTTTTGGCCAATAATGGGCCAAGAATTAGTTCATGGTAAATTGGTGAAGGTATTCCTAATGTTGTTGTACTTATCAGCCCATACTTTTTCTTCCTTGTAGGATGTTTTCAGCAAGCTTCCCTCAGGATCTAGTTCTGGAATTAATGATGGGTCTGGGAATGGTGTGCAATCTCCAGAGAAAAATTATGTTTCAGGATCACATTATTTAATTAATGGAGAAGATTTTGATGCTGACTTTTTTTATGGAGAAAATGAGTATGTGGATATGTCTCAGGATGATCCCCTATATGATGATCAGTATGCTATCATACAAGCTCATTTGGATAGTTTGGATATACCTCCTGGGGTTGAGGTTAGTGTACCTTGGTTTGCAGGCCATGAAGAAAATAAATTAAAGCCGGCTGTTGCAAGTACTTCAAATCATTCTAGCTCGCCAATTGACGTGGATGGTGTGGTTTTTCCCCCAAATTCCAATTCATCCTCCTCAATATGGCCCATGGAATTTGAACAATCAAGTGACAAATCAATTATAGGAGAGAATTTAATTTCAGGAGACAAAGTGAAAGGAAGTGGTCAACCTAAGAAATGGGAGCCATCTTCATCATGGTTGCTTAAAGATCCTGCTCATGTCTCGAAGAGGTCAACTGCAGCCAGGAGTTCATTTAGTTTGCCATCAAAATTCGCAAAGGATTATTTGACCTCCTCATCAAGCATGGATATGCATGATTCTCGTCATCATTTGGCTGAATCTTGGCGTCATCATTTGGCTGAATCTTGGCGTAGTAAAACTAAGAGGAATCGTCAAATAGGTTACAATATGCTGGAGGGTGGTTCACACAACCAGTTCAGTCATCATGTTTCTAGCTTTACAAAGCATCCGGTTAGTGGTCCCTTGACTGGTCTAGCTTCACGTAGTCGAACAAAGCGAAATGATGTTCAACCTGGAGCAGTGAGCCATAAGCATCTGGGCAGTGGTGCCTCAACTAATCCAGCTTCTCATATTCAAAAATTGCTAAATGATGTTCAACCTGAGGTAGGAAGCCATAAATATGCGTGGAAGAGCATGCCGAACAATACTGTAGGACATTCTTTTGTGAATGCTTCATATCCATCAGGATTTGTTGATCAGTCTGGGCCGCTAGCTGTCTTCCCTGATGACATGGCCTTTGGCCCCTGGGACATGGATCCTATTGTGGGCCAAAAGAGTGCAACTGCTTCTGGAAACTCATCTGGGTCGTTATCTGGCAAGGCAAAATATGGGGATCCTGGTGAATTTTTGAAGAACTTTGATCTTTTTAAGAAATTTGATACCGTTCAAGATTTTACAGATCACTATTATTCTAAAAATGGTTTTTCAATGAGGCAGGTAAGCTTCGGTTTTAGACATACTCGTAACTGCTTTTTTTTCCCCCTCTGAATATGGTTCCCTTACTGGACATTTTCTGCCACAGCCGTCAAAGAATTGGGCAAAGAAGATACAGGAGGAATGGAGGATTCTTGAAAATGATCTACCTGGTAATAGGATTGGCTTGTCTTTTTATTGAATCTGTTATCTTTGATTATTTCTTTACTCCTTTGAAAGCTGTACATATGGAGTGGCATAAAAAATATGTTACTCTGGATCTTACTTTGTGTATAAACTGTCTGCATTTTCATGCATTATTCATATATTTTTGTCTCCTTTTATGCATACTAGACTTTGTAGTGATGCACTTAGTTGTTATGTAATCATCCCACAGATACAATATTTGTCAGAGTCTATGAATCGAGGATGGACATTTTGAGGGCCGTAATAATTGGAGCTGAAGGGACTCCATACCATGATGGCCTATTTTTCTTTGATGTGTTCTTCCCAAGCAATTATCCTAATGTGCCACCAGTATGTAGCTGAAATTCATGTTTGCATATTAAGCTTCTGTTTAAATTTAGATCTTCTACATACAAACCAGGTCTATTTTCCATTAAAATTAGCAAATTACTTTTTCCAGCATGTTCACTACCATTCTGGCGGCCTTCGTATTAATCCGAATTTGTACAATTGTGGGAAAGTATGCCTCAGCCTTCTTAACACTTGGAGTGGTAGTCATAAGGAAAAGTGGATTCCTGGTGTATCAACCATACTTCAAGTTTTGGTCTCTATTCAAGGGCTGATTCTGAATGCCAAGCCATATTTCAATGAACCTGGATATGCAAGCATGAGCGGTACACCTGGGGGTGAAAGTAACTCACTGCAATACAATGAGAGCACTTTCATCTTGTCTCTGAAAACAATGGTATACAACATCAGGAGGCCACCAAAGGTAAAGTGATTGTGGCACTTTTCGCTTTATCTCATGGCTGGTTTGACTGCTTATTTTGCCTATCTACTTATGGTATTCTTGTTGAGATTAAATTGAATGAGCAAATTTTTTTTGTTCAAGCAAGAGATCTTCTAATTGATCTCGTGCTGGTGCTACTTTTCCTTGTTTGCGTGTTGTTGTCTATTGCTTTTATGATGCCATCTAACCGGTGCAGTAAGAGGACCCTCTCTAGCAGGTTTGTTGTCTTGCCCTGGTGGTGCTTTTGGGGTATCTTTTCGTTTTGTTTTGTGCTTTGTTATCCTATAATTTTTGGGTTCTTGGAAGAAGTATTTATTCATTTATTTTTTGTTTGTTGGGGTTCAGAGGAGGAAGGGGGGTGGTCTTGGTTGCAAGTATATATGATACTTGCATTAAAATCGACTGCAATTTGTTTTTGGCTGCCTTCTGATTTGGACTGATTAATGACTATTTTCGGCTTGGCTGCAGTATTTTGAAGATCTTATTGCAGGGCATTTTTACAAGCACGCACGTGATATTCTTGTGGCTTGTAAGGCATATATGGATGGAGCTCAGGTGGGATGCCTTGTCAAGGGGGGTGTTCAAGATGTTGATGAAGGTGACAAGAGCTGCTCCCAGCATTTTAAGAACTCTTTGGCAGGATATATCAAAACGCTTGTGGATGCATTCGCAGAAATTGGTGTCAAAGATTGTGATGAATTTCTTGCTTTAGCACAAAAGACGAACAGGATGGTGCCTTCTCAGCCAGTGGCTCAAAATTTTTACTACTACTGACTTGATGAGCAGGCAATTTTGAAGTTTAACCATTTGCTCGCCCATAAGATGTGCGGTTTAGGAATTCTATCTTAACAGACTAGATCGCACTGAAATTATGCAGTATGCTAGAATTATGGCATTTGGGACATAAAAAGTACAATATTATTGACAATAAATGTATATATAGCAGTTAGCTGTCCATATAAATATTTCCCCCCCTTTTTTTCTGGAATGAGTAGTGGATTTAAGTTTGACAATGTAGTCTGTTGGTTTGTCGATCCTGGAATTATCTCTTTGAGTGTGGCATTTAGGGCTTACCTCAAAGATGTGATCAGTCATCTAAATAAAACTTATCACAGGTTGGCAGAAAGTGAAGTGTAGTGTGTCATGGAGTCGCAAAAGTCGCACTCATTGAGTTGCTGTTTTCGTCATGCATGCTTTTTCATGGCAAGTCCTTTTAGTGGCGCTGGGTGGCGAGTAAATTTTTTGTCTAGGGGCATCATTCTTGATATAGCAGATCTGAGCATTGGTTCCCTATCTGTAATGTCAACTGTGAACGGTAAATATGCCAAGGGCTATTTTTATTCGTTTCTTTAAAGTTTAAGCCTGGGGATGACGACCGCCGGTAAAGCATCACTTAATGCCAACGCACTGATTTTGTAAAAATGGAAAATTTGCAGTACCTCTTCATTGCAACAGATATTTCCAATGGCGTTTCTTCCGGTTTGGAAGGAGACTTGTAAGGTCTTTGTTAAAGTCAACATTTTTGCTTTAATTAGTCAAGAAATTATTAAACCATTTTGGTATCACCCGTGCCACCGAGGAAGGGATGAAAGCTACCGGAAGTTGCTTAGATTCCTATTTTCCACAAAAACCACCTCACAAGGAAGCAGTCAACTGGAATATAGTAGAGTACTTGGATGATAGTAGAGTATAGTTTAAGCCAAGACTAAATGGGTTGCTGCCCTTGTGGGTTCCATGATTTATTTCCCTTGACAGGAGGGGCAGACGACCTCCGCAATAATCGACAAAGACTTTGACAATTTTGCATATAATAGACCAGACCTTATTAGTCACAAAAATGCAGAAAAAGGAGAGTACAAGCGGAAGAGATTGACTGGTAAATCCACTAAGTACAACTCTGGGACTGCAGTTGTTAACAAACTCGACTCATAAGCTCATCTTTACAGAAACCAGTTTTCCGAGCGTAGGAATATGAAACCTTCTCATTCCCCTAGTTTCTGTCAACTAACATGGTTCTGTGCTTTGTTGCTGTTGTTCCTCTTCAGCTTCTTCTGTACAACCATGGCTTCTGCTTCAGAAATTTCTTACAGCGATCATTGTGCTTCCATTGTCCCTGAATCCAGTCCAACTGGTCGTTTTAGTACCCAGTCTCCAATTCTCCATTTAGCCACAAGTTACTTCAAGGGTGGGGAGCAAATTCTTGGAAAGAAGTCAACGGATCAGTTGTTTAATAGTTCAGATGTTTATCTTTCACTTTATATCACTGAAAATATCTATGTAACCAAGACCAGCGGGGTCTACAAGGTTCAGGCTCGCTTGAGGTTCCGATTGCCCCATCAGTACCGTAATTATTCAGGTTATGGTCAGTGGTACCACCCCAGGGATGTCTACCGCAGAAGATCATTGAGATTCCTCTTAAATGGATTCTTTTCAGAGCAATCTAGGAAGCTTTGCATGGTAGGAAAGGCCTCTTGGCAATCTGCAGAAGGTAAGCTTCGCAATCTTGAAGCTGTTTTTCAATTTAATCATGCAAAGAAGAACTCAACCCTCTTAACTAGTTTAGCTAAGGGGACCTTGAAGAGCTTGAGTTCATCCAATAGCCCCAATTATTTCGAGCCCATTGAAATAGTTTCGCTCCCTGTGCTTTCTGATTACAATTATACATTGGCCTCAAAGGGGCTTGGCGGAGGGTGCCTGGGAGGAAATGATATTCCACCCAACCGGTCCCTTAGCTTGCTGCCAGGAAGCATTTGCTCGAGGTTCCTTTGGAGAACTTATGATTTTGAAGTGGAGTATGCAGCAGGGTGTAAAAGCACGAGTGATTGTGGTCCTTTTAAGAAGAAACATGCACACTTGTCCTTGTCCGCGTTTCAGTGTTCAGAGGATGAAGAAAAGCTACGATATATATTGGCTTTTCACAACGAATACTATTGGCATTACCAATCTTTTGACCCCAAGACAACATTGATTGGGGAAGGATCCTGGAATAGTGAGAAAAATCAATTGTGCATTGTTGCCTGCAGAATGCTCAACTCAGACAAGTCTTTAGAAGATGTTCGTGTGGGTGACTGCTCAGTGAGGTTGAGCATACAATTTCCGCTTGTCTGGAATATCACAGATACTAGCAGCATAGTTGGACTAGTTTGGACCAACAAGACGGCTACTGATCCAGGGCACTTCAAGGTTACCAGCTCCAACAACAATGGGGAGAGTTTGCCAGGCCTGAAATATGAATATACTCAAGTTGGCAAGGCAAGAGAATTATGTCCCAGAAAAGAAGTTGTTAAGGAAAATGGGGACAACTTCCCCAAAGGCAATTCTTATGATATGAGGTTTGACATGTCTGTTAAACACTCTAAAGAGGAGATTGCTTGGGGTAATGGACTCCCTATCTTTGTCAACAGTGAACATTATGGAGAAAATTTCGTAATAACTGAGGATTCGGGCCTTGGAGAAGTAGAGGAGAGCACCAATATTTATAGTAGCCAGATGAATATCAGCTATAAAATAACCTTCTCTTACATCAATTTGAAAGAACAGATTGCTTCGTTGAACTCATCACTCAATCAATGGGGTCAACTGTTAAACTCTGCCGAAGGTGTCTATGATACTGAAACAGGACATCTCTGCATGGTAGGTTGTCGAGAGATCCATCCCCTTCACAGTAGTGAAAAGTCATTTGATTGTGAGATGATCATAGATGTTGAGTTTCCTCCCTTAAGTTCAATGGTTGGAAGTTCCATCAATGGAGTCATCCAAAGCAGGCGGGCAAAAACTGATTCTCTTTACTTTGAGCAGTTGAATATATCTTCATCCTCTTATTACACTGTTCAAGCACAGGAATCCATTTGGCGGATGGATTTGGAGATCATTATGGTCTTGATCTCCAACACTCTGGCATGTTTATTCGTGGCATCTCAGCTATTCTATGTGAAGAAGCATCCAGAAGTTCTCCCCTTTATTTCAGTTGTCATGCTCAGTATCATCACTTTGGGTCACATGATCCCTCTGGTGCTCAATCTTGAGGCCCTTTTCATTAAGAATCACGATCAGCAAAACGTGATTCTTAGAGGCGATGGATGGCTTGAACTGAATGAAGTGAGTGTAAGATTGGTCAGTTTAGTAGTCTTTCTCCTGCTGTTGCGCCTCCTCCAATTGGCATGGACTGCAAGAACGGAGGATGGAGACGGAAACCATTTATGCGCTGCGGAGAAGAAAACCGCTTTCGTGTCTTTACTTCTGTATGCTGTAGGTGGACTAATTGCCTTCTTGGTGGAGTTAGAGAAGAATGGCAATGGGAATGGGATGCCACGTTCTCTATATCCTGCTTACAACACCACCATTCCTGATCCATCTCTTGTTATGTCTGAACAATCCTATACATTGAGGTACCTGAAATCATACGCTGGTTTGGTCCTTGATGGATTTCTCCTTCCTCAGATCCTCTTCAACATATTCCAGAATTCAAGGGAAAAGGCACTGTCTTATTTGTTCTATATCGGAACAACATTAGTCCGCTTGGTACCCCATGCATATGATCTCTACAGGGTGCACAATTACATGCGTCAAGATTTTTATGGATCATACATTTACGCAAATCATAGTGCAGATTTTTACTCCATTGCTTGGGATGTCATCATCCCTTGTGGTTGTATAGCGTTTGCAGTGATCATTTGGCTGCAGCAGCGATTTGGTGGAAGCTGTGTTCTTCCACAAAAAATTCGTGAACTTGGCCTGTATGAGAAGGTGCCTGTGGTTAGCAGTGAGTAGCTTTTGGGGCAAATGTTGACTGTAGAACTTATGTTTTGCTTGTGTGGAACTGCTGTTGCAAAATCTTCAAGCTAAAATAAGAAGACTGCTTGAAGTTAACTTTTTGGCTTTGTTTTTCTTTTGAGCAATCAGCATTTTCTGCTGGGGCTTCCTTCTCAGTTTTGAACACTTGATGTAATATGGCTGTGAATTAGTAGTGTCAAGTCAGGTTTAATGCCGGCTTTATGTTTTACTTTGCATATTATTTTTTTTCTTTCATTTTGAACTTGTTGATTCCATTCTTAAAAGCCAAGAATAATTAATAGTATCCTAATATAGCCCCCCCAAAAAAAAAGAGAGAAGAAAGGAAAAAACTGTTGATGTGAACGTTGTATGTATTTGAACGGATAGAGAATGATCTCAAGTTTCATACAAATGAAAAAAGAATTAATCAAAGAATAATTTGAAAGTCGCCATGTTTGGATAGCAACAAAAAATTGCTGCAGTTTACGTGAATACATTTTTTAATCACTTTTTTATCTTACATATATCAAATCACTATAGTAATTTTTTTAATAAAAAATCTAAAAAAATGAAATCCATAAACAATAGGTTGGTTTGGTCAAGGAGGGTCAAGAATTAAAAGGATCTCGATAGTTGGTTTTTTTTGAAAACTACACAAATATGAGAAGTAATTAAAATGCAAGGAATGCCAATAATAAATAGATTTAAATGGTCATCTGTGTACATAAATTGGGCACCAATCAAGAAAACCATTGATAAATTTTGATTTTCATGAAAATTGTGCTAGTTGAAATATAAACTCCAACTGAGTACTCATATTTATTTGTTGTATTTACTCCCAAAATTCCAGCTAGTCCAACTTCATCCATATACTCCGTGACTCTAGAATCCTCCTCCAGCTAAAACCCTAAACCCCCCGGATTACACTACAATATAAACAAACAGAAATCTATTTCAGTTCTCCGTCGCCTCCAAACCAACTTCACCATTTCCTCGGATCATAACAATTCTAGAGCGAGACAGATACAGAGAAAATGGCAAGTTCAACCGCTTCAAGGCTGCTCAGCTCCTCGAGAATGACTCGAGAAACTTGGACCATTGCTTTCAAGCTTCAGAATCGTTTATCTGTCGCTAAAGAACAATTCTGTGTCTTGCAACCTTTTTTTTTTTCTTCTTTGTATTTGAGCTGCTGAGGGTACGCTATTGTTAAGCGCCTGCACGTGGGAGGACATTAACACCCTATTGGGGTACAATGGCGAAGATCATCAGTAGCTGTATATAAATGTCCTATTCCTGTACCTGGTATTGGTTGGGCATTCAAATTTTACTTTGTAATGAAAAAGCGGTCTAATCAAATCAGTTTGGTTGAATCGGTATGATTTCTGAATTTTTCGCTGTTCATTCTTGGCTTTAAAATTTTCAATCCAAATCTATGCAATAGTGCTCTTTCGTAGAAATAAATAATATGAATATGCAGAGAAGTTTCTATCTTTTCAAGATTGCAACAGATTCTCATCTTCTCTGATGCTGCCCTACCTTCAACGAATAAACCATACCATGATACAGAGACGACTCTTTTATTGTGCTAGGGTCTTATCTTATTTTTGAACAAAAAAATAATTGCCACAAGTCTCATATTTTTCTTTTTGAATTGAAAGGAAAACTATCGAATTGGGTAACGGAGAAGGGAAGTTGATTGTGTTAATTGGGATGCTTCTCCACAGGACATATAATCAAAACAGCCCGTCCAAATTTGCATGTTTTTGGTTGGTTTAAATTTCATCGACTTTGATTTATTCTCATTTTCTAGTAATTCAAAATGTCATTCTGGAAAAGTTTTGTTTGGATAGAGTATTATTTGAAATATTATTTATTTGGAATAATTACTGTAGAACTTTTTGTGATGTGAGATAAAAAAGTGATTGGAAATATAAAAAGGTGGATTGGGAAATGTGTTTATGATGTAAGCGAAATATTATTTGAGATATTTTTGTTATCCAAAACTTTCAAACTCGGGGAAAAATCTGTAGATGAACAGCCTTGATTGTGAATTATGTAAATTTTCAAAGCAATTCTCATATTTACTTCTCATCTTTTATGTAATATGATTATTCAGTCTTGGTGTTGCAACCACAATAAGCTTTTAATATCGTCTCATTTGTTTCAATCACTAGTAATATGAAGAAACTAGATGAAAATAACGTAGAAAATTCAAATTTTCAAAAGAAAAAAAATTTGTTGAAGAGATTCTTTGCATGATCAGTTAGTTCAAGAGTCTGTATGTCAGTTAGAGGTGTCAAAATGGGTGACTTTGGCGGGTTTGGGTTGGGTAAAATGGATAATGGGTATAAGTGAGTCAACCCATTTATACCAATTTAATTAGATGGGTATAAATGGGTAAGTCAAAAAATGAATTGGGTAACCCAATTACCCATTTATAACCCATTTATTTTAACTTGTTGTAAACTCATTTAAATTCATTTTTGCAAACTAAGTTATCAATTTATACCGCTCTTTGTACCCATCATTAGTTTTAAATATTTACTTATAATGTTCAATAAGCCTAATTACCAATTTTTTTTTCATTTATACTCTATGTCACAAAATTACCTATTATTTAATAATTGAATAATAAGAATATAAAAATTTGAACTAAGTACTATAAAAATTAATATAAAAACTTAATCCAAAAATTTTGAACCCCTAACATTTTTTTCATATATAAATTTAAATTTTCATTTTAGAAAGATAAGAAAATGGGCTAAAATTTATCATAAATTGGTAATGCTGAAAAATGAGCAAGTTAACAAACTAAGATAAAATAAAATAATAAGATAAAATCAACAAATAATAATAATAATAATAATAATGAAACAAAAGTAGTTAACACCATGACAAAATGAAAAATTTGAAAAAAAAAATGGGTGGGGGAAAAGAAGAGACTTGGGGGGAAGAGAATTCTAAATGGGTTAATTGGGTTTGATGGGTTACCCAATAATACCTATTTTTATTAAATGGGTATTATTGGGTAACCCATTTATACCCATATACAAAAATTTAAGATACCCATACCCATCTATTCATGGGCGAATATGGGTAAATTTAATTAAGTGGGTTGATTTGACACCTCTAATGTCAGTACAGAGATACTCAGCTCCAATATATATATAACCCTTTTAGTACAATTTACATAAATATCCTCAATATTTTTATTATTTATTAAGATAAATTTTATCTAATTTAAAGAATAGAATTTTTTTTTTATTTTTTAAACTCCATTAGGGCCATTAAGCTCAAATTTGAGGTTGAGTTTCAAAGTTCATCGAGTTCGAATTTGATAAAATTGAGTCGAGTTTGATTGATTAGATCAAATTTCAATTCGATTTTGTTCATTTATAGTCTCAAGTCCCATCAAAACACTATGCGAAATTATACAAGGGAACACACACACATATATACACACTCATTTTCTTTAATAAGAAAATCCTTGAGGATTGAGTTTTTGGTCATGGGATGGGATAGTACAAATTATTTTGAAAATTGTTAGCACTTCAAGAATTGTCATTCCACGTTTTGGATATTATACTGGATAGAGATCGCTCAATGACGGGGTTGTTGTTATATCTTTTTTTTCCCTGTTTTTATATACTTTTAGAGTTAGAAATTTGTTTTCATATAAGCAAAAAGGCTCATGTTTCAACTCTTTTTTTTTCCTTTTTTCCTTTGAGAAATATTATTTGCACTTCCATTTTTATTAATCATACTTTCACTATCATTTTAATCATATAGTTTTCATTTGTTAGACTATATAATAAAATAAACGATGGGAGTACAAATAACAAAAAATAGAATGCAAAGAATATTTTCCTTTTTCTTTTTGGCTTCTATCAACATGAATTGCAACAATGATCTAACAAGCAAATGATTGTACAAACGAGTTATCTAAGAAGAATCTCTATTTTTCTATTCTAGAAGATTAATTAATTAGTCATTAGATGCTTTTGTTTAGTATATTTAGAGTAGAGAACTTTTTTAAAAAAGGTAAATTGTTGTTTTAATGTTTCATTATCACATTGACTTTTGATTTAATGTTAAAAACATTTTGTTCAGGACTTTTGTTTGTCCCCATTATAATTTTTAATTTTAGCATATATTTTCTACTGTCTCAAATTATTTTCAAATAATTACACTTTTATAAGAGATTATAAATTTTATCTACTAAATGAACATCTTTGTTTTCAAGATTCAATGACAGGTTTGAAAAAAGAACTGGTGCAAGTGCACAGGATAAGAAATATATTTGGTTAGGCTAATGTATTAACAACTATTACAAAAAAAAAAAATCAAACAAGTCTATATTAGTGATTAGACTAACTGTGACCCAAACCCGCACCGCTCACAGCCCCCGACCCAAAATTGAGTAACCGGAATGGACCACATTGGAATTCAACCAACCCGTCTTCTGACCCTACAAAGACCCGACCCAAAGCATCATAAGACTTGCGCCATTGGCTCGACTCCTGAACTCCTTCCGGCTAGTTGGGACATTGAGCTTGAAGTCTTGAACTACCACCGGCAGCAGCAATGGAAACGGCGGAAACGCCGGAAACTTTTTTATACGAAACCCTAAGTCCTCTGAGCCTCACTACCAACACCGACGAACCGCCGCCAACTTCGTCGCCGCCATGTTCGTCTTCAAACCCAGATGAAGCCGAACCCTATGTTGTCTTCCGCAACGAAATTTCTCTTTCATCTATTCAGTCCTCGACAACTGAAACCGCTGCTCCTGAATATTTCTCCCTCGACGTTATTGATGTCGTAGAGAATGTTATAGATACTCCAATTCCGACTCCCGAGGCGTCTCCAGCTGCGGCACCAGTAAAAGAGCCCGAGCGGGAGAGAAGACTGGAGGGGAATTGGTTTCGAGCTAACTGTCGCTTCAAAAGTCCCATGCTTCAGCTCCATAAAGGTATGTTTTTGTCAGCATTTAGAGTTTGATATTATCTCTTTAACTGCACTTTTCCTCCTCATTTATGGAAATTATACTGCTAGTGCTTACGTAATTGGAAGAAGCCAGTTGCTTTGAAGTTTATCTGGAGCATCAGTGGTGAACTTGAATTCTTCATGCTTCAGATTTTCGATCCCCAGTCGTTGGAAAGATTCTACTAGACACAAAAGAAATAATTTAGATTAAAAAAAAATTAATGGTGTTGGATTTGGACACAGTTTTAGGTTT